TAGTCCTAGCTACTTGGGAGGCTGAGGCAGGAGTATCGTTTGAACCCAGGAGGCAGAGGTTGTAGTGAGCCAAGATCATACATTGCACTCCAGCCTGGACGACAGTGCGAGACTTCATCTCAAAAAAAAAAAAAAGAATTTTGAAGTCTTCTTTCAAAAACAATAAACAATCAGTCATTTGAGGACCACTTTAAAAAGAGTCAGAGACAAAAATGAAGAAACAATTGGTAGGAGTAGGAGGATAATGCTTCAACTACATAATGATAAATATTCTTCACTTCCTACAAGAACAATGTTTCTGTAAGCTTACAATCAGAAATAAATGCATTTACTAAGTTTTAACCACTTGCTAACTAAATAATTCAGTCCTCTTTTAAAACAGAGATCTGGTTAAATAAAGAAAATTAAAGACTGAAAAGTTTATACAAGTCAAACTCCTCACAGGTCTTACAGTAGAGCTAGCCCAGAAATAAACAGTCTCTAAGCCCTACGTGTCTTCAAACTTCTTTTTTCACACTACTGTTGCTAAGAAACTATTATCACTAAATTGGCATTACCATTAAGTTATTTAACTTTCAAATGTCAAATTTAGACAAATGTATACGGAACTCAACTTGAAGAAGCGCAGATTATTTAGAAAGGCGAGGAAAGGTTTCTATATGCAGAAAGACCAGGAGATATAACTATAACTTTTCAAGGGAAGTGAAAGAGTAAATACTAAGGAGCTGTCACGCCACTGCTGTGACCTAAAACCAGTTATATACACTGTCCACTTCCTCATTTCACAAAAAAACTTAAAAACAAAGAGAAGCCACCCTCATATTTGCTGTTGATGCCTTCAGGGGAAAATGAGTTCTGGGCCTCCCCCGTAAGTACCCTGCCATCCCAGTGTATGATGGAACAACACCATGGAGTCACAACCCAAAAGTCCAGTTTTCTCTCTGATATAGCCCAGGTAAGCCCAAGTATTTCCCTACTAATTAAAGGGAAACAAAAAATAAAACAAAAAAACTTGTTGCCACGCTCTAGAATTACACTGGCTCTTCAATACGCACAATAATTAGAAGCTATTTAGTAAGCCAGAGAGTATGACAAGAGTAATTCAGTAAAGTCACTATACAGGTTTGTATTTTGGAATTTTTGTTTTTTGACACCAGCACTTCATATCAAAATTCTCCAGTAGCTATAGCACTTTTTCATTCTCATATTTATATACATACTGTACAAAAAAATGTGGCAAATGTCCCATGACTGAACTTGATATCTAAGTAATTCTGAATATAAAGTAATTTACATCAGAGTAGACTACTGCACTAAAAACTGCAAAATCAAAAGAAAAAAGTTGATGATAGCGCTGATATATTAAATTACGCTTCCGTATAGTAAGAAATCTGAGAGTAAAAACTTTCATTTTCCAAATTAGGCTTCAGTCAAAAAAATATATGAAGTTCACAAAAAGTCTTTTTTAATTTTCTTAAATTTCAGATGAGCTTGTCTCCTGTATGATAGGTGAGGATACTAACCACTATCCAAATGAGGAGAAAAAACAAACTAGAATGGCTGAAATACACAGTTGGGAAAATGTCTTTTAACTTTTCATTCTGGAAAACTTCAAATATACAAGAAAGTAAAGAGACTAGTACAATGAATCTCCACAAACCCGTTTCCCAGATTCAGCAATTATGAATTCATGGCCAGTTCGGCCGCATCTGTATTCCCACCTAACATTACCCATCAACAATATATTATTTTAAAGTAGCTCCTAGACTTCATGTCAGTTTTTGCATAAATACTCTTAGTATATATCTCTAAAAATAAGGCTCTTTGAAATATCAAGCACAATTCTATTGTCATACTCAAGATATAATAATGCTTGAATGTGCTCAAATATTCACTGTTCAAATTTCCCCAATTATGTGGTATTAAAAAATAAATATAAACTTGATACCTACTCTCATTAGCTCCTAAAAATTGTTGTTGCAGGCCTTCAAATGTGTCACTTCCTGTTATCTCTGGGGCTGGTGAGCCATTGTTTGGGACAGAAGACTGATACGGCTTATATATCACTTTATTATATGGTTCTAAACCTTGACAACTGGGAACCTGTGATGAACCAAATTGCTATTATAGATGACAGAAGAAACTGACAATTAAGATTTGGACTTTTCTTCCAAAATCATCTGAATTAGACACCGAAATTTTATGTTACAGAACTTACTTTTGTTAGTTACAAAGTTTTATATGTATATATGTATACACACACACACACACACACACACACACACACACACATATAAACATATCTGCTCAAAAGTAGCACTTATTGTTATTTAACACTATTAATTGAAAGTCTGCAATACATATAGACACCTAAATTCTACTTTTGAGTACACAATGAAGCCAATTTTATAAATAAAACTCAAGAATTCCAATAAGACTATATACAAATACTTTAATACAACTGATTTAGATTACGCCAACATCTTGGGAACATAAAAATGCACGTATTCAATACATGAACATGGAATACAGGGCCTCATATCTAATAAATATTTGATAACTTTTATGGGCTGAATAACATTCCACAGAGAGAGAATTAAGAGAAAATAACCACTTAACAGCACCCAGAAATCCATCCTGTCAATGAATGACACAGACTAGCTGTTGAGCTATTTGCTGTCACTGAGAAATTCTAAGAAGCAACTAACTATATCCTGACGTCTTACTTCATTAAACCCTCCCACAGGAAAAACAAGGTTTTCTGTTTTTTCCTTAACATTCATTCTGTCTACTGCTGTATCACCAAACAAAACAGGTATCAGCTTTGACGTGTTTAACTTAAAATTTGTTATGAGTGGTGAGCAGGAAAATCGAGAAAATTAAATGTCACCTCCATAGAATTACTGCTTTAAAAACTACAAAGAGACCTGAACATAGCTTCTCACCGAAGCACAGGGCAGTGGTATAAGCAGTAGTAAATGAGGACAGTTATTCTTTGGCAGACTTAACTTTTAATGTTTATACAACTGTGTCCAAAGAGCTTCCATTTTAAACTTTTGACTTAAGATTACGACTGTATTAGATTGTAAGCAGAAAATACCATGACTAATTCACCATGAACCTGAATAAGTGTCCCCTCAAAACTTCGTGTGGTTAAATCATCTTACCACCGCACTTACATACATTTCCTAAACACACACAAATATCACAAGTTATTACAATACCTGAAAATGGTTCCACTGAGGATCTGAAAATTTAATTATATTGGTTGGTTGGTTATTAAATTCCTGTTTCTGACCATTGGTATATGGCCTAAAGTTTTCAGGGAGGTGATATAAATCAGTCTGTTCACATTTACTTGGAGGACTATAACCACTTCCGCCTTCATCTCCACCTTCTTCAGGGTGGTACACAGGGTATCGGTCTTCAGTTTTACTTCTGTTTTCTTCCCAGACATTCCCACATTTTTCTCCAGCATATAAATTCTGAATTTCATTATAGTCCTATTAGATAACGAGAGTAAAACAAAAGCACGAAGATCCACTCCCACCCTCATCTGTGTCATCATCACACCAGATACTTACATTTATACCTTGAGATTTGGGCAGCACTTGCACATTCCAGTTCATCTCTAATTGCTCAGGATGATGAGGTCTTGAGAAAAAGGAATACTTTCAATTTAAAGTGTATCATTTATTTGTACATCGATAACACAAAGAACCCCAAGATTTTAATGTCTTTCCTGCCAACCGTCACCCCGAATTTTAAGAATCTATTTATAATTTTATAATCATGTACAATATTAAACTACATCAAAAGAAAAAGACTTATAGAATTGTAATATATAAGTGAAAGTGACTTCAGGTGCTTACTCTCTGTCCGTGCCATCCTCACTGCAGTCCGAATAACGGAGCTCAGGAGAGGAGAGGTCGTCATCCAGCATGTCATGGGGAAGATCTGTGAGTAACTGCTGCAACTGAGTCAGAAGGTCTGCATCAGTATCATATCAACTGAAACACAAGTCACCAAACCAAAGCTGCCTTGGAACGAGTGGTTTTTGACTGTAGAAGTCAAAGAAGTTCGTAATTCCCCTCTTTTACTAATTTCTTAAGTTCCACGCAAATTATATTCATCATTTCACTTGGGGAAAGGAGAATGCATAATTTTAGGATTTACATCAGAAGGCCTTTTTCTTTTTTTTTTTTAAACAAAGGTCTCAGATTTAAATACACATAGAGCAGAATTTAAAACTTTTTTGATGGAAACACAGCATGTCACAATAATGGTACAATCAATGTATTATGTTATCACAGGGCAGACTAAGTCTCAGAATCCTGTTTTACCAGTAATCATAGCTTGGGAAATTGACAATTAGATATCCCGCAGGGAATGTGAGTAGCCAGATGTACTTGGGCCAGGTGATGAGAACAGCAGGAGTAGCAGGTGGCCTAGAAGCCCTTAAATGCTCTGATAATGTAGAAACCTGCTGGGGAGTCACTAATTAGCAGAAAGCCGTCTAATTCCAAAGATGAAAAGATACACAATACTCTGCTCTTATACAACATCCGAGTAAAAGAAGAGTTGGAAGATTGTTTTCTATAGATAGCACACACAAAAGCCTAACACTAAATCTGACATTAAATATTTGATTTCTTATTATATAAACTAGATGGACAAAATTCATTCACTCAAATTTCAAATGTGATAAAAAGATGTATAAATCCACTAGTCTGTTGAATTTCAATAACTATCTGCAATTGTTTTTCTTCAAAACCCAATATAATAACTTATATTACCCTAAAATCCCAATATATGTCTTAAATTATGTAACAATTAGAATATCAAATATTATGTTACTAAACACTTTTTAGAGAAACTGTTTCTAATTACTTCTCTTTAAGAAACTAAGCACCAGTTTAATTAACAACTTGACTACCTCCCTCCAAAGTACATAAATCAAACCCATAACATTATGCAAGTGGATTTTAAAGACCCTAAATACTCTGTAAAACCTTTCAGGGAAAAAAAAAAATGAGATGCTCCCTGGTCTCTAGCAGGTTATTTTTTTTTCTACTTTACCTGTCATTAATACAAAAGAAATGGAACGTGACCATAAAACACATCTGAGTATTATGTTAAGAATTACAAAAAAAAAATTTTTTTAAACAAAATACGTATAGTAAAAGTTAAACAAATATGTTTCAAGGAAGGTCTGAAAGGAATGCCCCAAATTCTTTTTCTTTTTTTTTAGACGGAGTCTTGCTCGGTCGCCAGGCTGAAGTGCAGTGGTGCAATCTCTGCTCACTGCAACCTCCGCCTCCTGGGTTCAAGCGATTCTTCCACCTCAGCTTCCCGAGTAGCTGGGACCACAGATGTGTGCCACCACACCTGGCTAATTTTTTTGTATTTTTAGTAGAGACGGGGTTTCACCATCTTGGCCAGGATGGTCTCAATCTCTTGACCTTGTGATCCACCCGCCTCAGCCTCCCAAAGTTGCCCCAAATTCTTAACTGAGCTTTAGTGAAATAAAATTTGTAAATGGAAATAGAATATGTTGGGGGGGCAGGTGGGAATACTTCCTCACTCCATATTTCTGATATTCACTGGATGGATTTTTTTTTAAGGTTTTCTCAATCCATTTGTTTTCTAAAGATTCAACAAGAGAAAGATATTTTCTCCACTGAAAAGTTACCATAATCTTTAAATCTGTTTAATGCTAACATTCACACACAAGACCCTCATTCATTGCTCACCTGCACATGCAAGGTACTTGAAAAATCATTTTGAGAATTAGCCACATCAGAGTTGACTGAGAGTTATAAAAAACAAGAAATACAAAAGATACAACATAAAAAACAAAACAGAACACATCAACATATTTGATACTACATCAACATATTTGTATACTACATGCCTCAAATGAAAGATTGCAAAGCAATTCTATAAAGAAGCAAATGCACTAAAGGAAAAAATAGTATCTATGAGGTTATTTAAAAGTAGTACCACTTGTCTATAATTATGCATCACTGCTTTAAGGAAAAAGACTACCCCTACATGTTACACCAGGAAAAATAAAGCAAATCTTTTATACTTACATCAAGTAAAGACTCCTGAACAGAAAGAATATTTTCTTCTAAACCTTCAGTGAGGTTCAAGTTCATAACTTTATAATTCGGGGGCCCCTTGACAGGGACATCTGAAGAGTACATTTTTTCCCCGCACAAAAACAAAAAACTACATAGTAATTCAGCAGTTACTGTAGTTTTCTTTGTGATACCACAAAATTGGCATCTATAGATGCCATTATAAAATTCATCTTCAAAAAATTTATCCATCAAGTTCTTTGGCATAGCTGGGTCATATTCCCTGGCTTCTTTAAGTTCAGGGCAGAGGAAAGCTTAATGAAGTGAAATCCTCCTAAATAAGGCCGTTCAGAAACAAAATCCCACCTCCAATGTTTCCATTTCCCAGGATCAAAGTGTACCCTCCTCATATACACTGTCAAATTGCATTTTGGTCACTGAACTCTATGCAATAAAACACAAAATTGCCACATCTAGCTATGCATATTACCAAATAGAGATTTTTAGAAAATGTAAATTTTCCTCATTAAAGATCTATCAAACTTCCAAATACAGATTCAAGAACAGAAATAACAATCCTTATACATGACAATATTTAATCCCAATCATTAATTTAAAATTCATCAGATTGAATTTTTGGCTGCAAGCAGCAATCTCAATAGGATATTATTGTGTATTAACTGAGTTTAAAAATTTAACAGATAACTTCCCTGGAAAAAAGATAATTTGCCACTCTTAAGGCTTCAATTGAAATAAATTCAGAATCATTCTATAAACTCCTCTCCCTTTCTACTTCACGTTTCTTTCTTAAAAAGAAAAAAGAAGAGAGCATTTGACTCAAAGAACTTTGTTAACAAAACACTTGGCAATAACCCATGTAGAACATACAAAAGCCTACTCTGAAGGGTAAATGTGAAACAAAGAACATGTAAACCTTTCGTTAGGATTTTCAGCTTAAATTAACTAAACAGATTATCTACAGGGCCTGTAATCCCCAACATTCATGAAGGCAAGAGGCCTCAAATTACAAACCATACAATAATCTGCTCCCAAGAGAAAGGGTAGCAAATGGAATATCTAATGGTCATATTCCCTTTGAACAGGTGGCCTCATAAGTGCACTTCTAAAAAGATTCTGATATTTTAAAATATGAATTATTAAATAAGGCTTCCATGTATACACGCTAAATATAAACAAATACTAGCTTTACAACTCCCTCTAGTGGAAACAAAATATCAAAATGCTCTGTAATTACATCAAACAAGGCAGTTACAAAGTGGAAGAAGAAATGCAATGGAAACCTTGCCTCTAAAATACATGATGCCAAGCTAAATGAAGATTTATTATTCTATTAAAGAGCTACCAATATATAAACCAAGTCAGTATTGCCAGGTGAAGTTTCTATCTGCCCCTGCTACTTAAACCATTCACCTTTCTACTCAAGATCATTTTCAAATATGTCATCACTAAATGGCCCATCATCACTAAATGACCCACCATCAGCAAATATTATCTTGATATCATAGATTACCAAGTATTTATGCCCCAAATCACCAGCTCCAGTATACATACATACACAAATGGAGAATTTTACTATCTAGAACCAACAACAATCACAGAGCTACTTCTGGTGACATTGCAGAAAGTACATGTCTATTCCAGATGACTGTGAGAGTCCAAAATAACAATCTTCCTTAAGCTGTGACTTTCCTGACAACTAAAAGGCTTATAACAAGCATTCCTATTACAAAAAGAACTTTATCTGGGGCTGGGCACGGTGGCTCATGCCTATAATCCCAGGACTTTGGGAGGCCGAGGCAGGTGGACAGGAGTTTGACCAACACGGGGAAACCCCATCTCTACTAAAAAATACAAAAAAAAAAAAAAAATTAGCAGGGCATGGTGGCACACGCCTCTAATCCCAGATACTCAGGAGGCTGGGGCAGGAGAACTGCTTGAATCCAGGAGGAGGAGTGAGCCAAGATTACGTGATTGCATTTCAGAATGGGCAACAGAGCGAGACTCGGTCTCAAAAAAAAAAAAAAAAAACTCTATCTCTGTAATATCCAACTGTGAAATCAAAAGGTATAGTGACTTAAGCTGAAAAGTATTTTTGCAAAGTCACATTGTTACATTATAAATGAGTTAATACAAGAGCTTCTGAATTCTCTTCTGGGACAGCTTTATAAGGAAAACTCTGCTTTGGATCAGATCTCCTTCTTAACAAGAAGGACAACTACCATCAGCAGCTCTCAAACAGTACAAAAAAGTAATGTGCTCCAGGAAGTTAGGAGAAACAGAAGTAATGTGTGACAATTAATTGATATTAACTGACAAGATACATATCTCTATGATGTCATCAACCTCACTGATCTGCACCCTTATCTGCTCTGCTGACTATTTTTCAGAGATGGAGATACAGCTGAAACACTGTGAGAAGCTGTGGCTTATGTACCTCTCTGCTATGCCTTTATGCCTAGATCCCCAGTGGGCCAACTTTTACTAATGTACCATTAAGAGTTGCAGCACTTTAGAAATAGATTATAGGACTTTTCTACAAAATTCTTGTTTTTTTTTTGTTTGTTTTGCAAAATATGATGATGATCTATTAGTGATGATCTGTGGCTTAAGATTCCACTGGTCTAAATATCCTCTAAATATTGAAGCACCTATTTACTAAATGCTTTCCTTTTTCCGAATGTTAAAGGCACTTTCTCCATTTCATCTTCAATGCAAACAATGGAGAGAATAGAAATGGAAAAGGCAAAATTATAATTGTAAATCTGCTCATAACGATGGCATAAAGGTTGGAATGGTGTATTCACTGGGATATGGGCATATGTGGACAAAATCCCAACTGGCACCAAAACAACAAAATTAAACACAGCTTGGAAAAACATGCTGTATTAGCAACTGGCCTTTCATCCCAGACAGTGAAAATCAGGACTATCCAACCATGTACCAAGAGAGACTCTCACAAACCCTTAGCAGGGCAGACTATGAGTCAGATGCGGTATGCCTGGTAAGCCTTATAGCACATCATCAGGGATAAAGGCATTCCTCCTATGTCAGCAAATTGAACACAAATTGATTCACTAAGTAGAGAAAGCAATATGCATTAGCCCACTGCTAACAGTTATAACCTAGCCGTAATCCCAAAGCCACAGTCCCAAAGATACCAACAAGGTAGACAGAAAAAAAAAGAGCTTTTTTTCTTTAATTTCTTAAGGCTGTGAGCCGCCCAGCTATTGCAGGGTCAGGAAGACTGAGATGGTTATAAAGGTTTCTGCATATGCATGCAAGCTTGGGTTTCACACCCAATTTATTACTTTAACTTGCAGTGACAACACATACATACAGCTGAAGATTTGTGACGTTCTAAAGTTTGTTACTGAAATCTGAACCTCTCAGGCCTCTAATCTCACTCTTTCCATTGCAGCAATTTTTTTTTAAAATAAAAATATTTTTATTCACATGAAGTTTCTTACAAATTTGACCATAATCATGATATTAGAGTCAATTTAGCTATACATCCTTCCACTCTGTTAGAAATACTCATTCTTAGATACTTGATCTTTTAAAAACAACTTTTCCCCTGAAATTCTCTATCTCAGCATACAATCTGTCAAAGAGGTGATCCCAAATAGCTATTGTCTATAGTATCTAGAATTAATCACCTCCTTAACTAATATCTCTTTTAAAATTTTAACCCCACAATACACCGGCAGTATGCTCTCCCTAATACCCTACCTATCTCCCTAATATCTTTCCCAATGAAAAATCACCTGTCAAAATATTTTTTTCTTCTTTACAGTAATGATTTCTTAAACTGACCCTATCAAGAATCCCAGTGGCTAAACCCCAGGCAACTATCCAAGCCACTGCAGTCAAGAAAACCTCATGCGGCAGGTTCCAAGTAACAGAAAATCCTCATTCCCATCCTTGCCACAACAATTGTTGTGAGGGGCCCTGCCAAAATCCAGAAACTCTCACCGGGGTCATAAACTCAAATGCCCTCAGGGACCTGGCAGAGAATTTACCAGAGTGAAGCAGGCAGGTCTGAGTGCATAAGCCCATGTCTGTGTGAGAAGTGGGGACCGTGGCCAGCTGGGGAAGGAGAGCCACTGCTCAGCTCCAGCCTGCCTGCTGCCATGTGCAAATAGAGGCCAGGTGTGGCCAGGGCTTTGGATGTTTTTAGATAAGCCAGAGACTCTGCAGTGCCACATAAAATTTTCCAATCTTCAAATATGGATTCGATTTTTTTTAAAAGCACTCTGCAACCAAACAATGCCTGCCTATGAACCAAATCCAGCAAGTTGCCAGTTTTCTATCACTACCATAATGCTGCTGCCAGCTACATGAGCATCAGTCAACTGACCCTATTCTTTGCTTCCTGTTAATACTAATGGTCTCCAATAATGATTTAAAAAGATTTCTTTACATATTAGAAAATGGGTCATATAAAAAACAGTGTCAGAACAAAAGAAGCCTTTTATCATAGGCAATCAAGAAATTTGACTTAAACTAAAAACAACCGAAACAAGTAAACTGACTTCCACCAATAACACTACTACCGCTACTATTACTATTGCCACCATTTACTGAACACTTACTATGTGCCAAGAATGCTGCTAAACACTTTATATATAAATAATATGATCTCTCCCTTTTATTCATTTCCTTTTATAATCTATTGACCATACAGACTTCTGAAAGATCTTCAAAAATATGATATCACTTTTCCTTGCTTAAAATCCTCCACTGCCTTCCCATTGCTCTTTGAATAAAATACAAACACCTTACCATGGCTTTCCATGATCCGACACCCACATCTCCACCTGACATCCACCACCTGACACTGGCTCATATATAACCAATACCATGGCCTTCTGGCTGCTCCACAGATAACACGGGGTCTCTTCCCAACTCCCCAGCTTACACTCCTCGGTGTTTTGGCCTACAAAGATCTTCCTCAGGCTTCCGCACGGCTGGTTCCTTCTCATGAGTCAAGTCTCAGCTCAAATATTGCCTCCTCTTAGAGACCTTCTCTCACCACCCCATCTACAGCAATCCCCTACCAATTGCTTTCATAACACTCCAGTGTGTTTCTCTGTCATTTATCAATGATAAATTATCACTCACTCAAATCACTTTCCTCACTTGTTTATTGTCTGCCTCCACCAGGATGTAAACTACCCAAAGCAAAGACCCTTCCTTGTCAGACTTGTTCACGGCAATGTTACAAGCACCTAGGAACTAACCTTCCACTTCCAACGGCAACCATTACCTCCTAAACGAAAAGAAAATTTTAACCATTTATCTGATGGCATCATTCACGGTTGTGTTTTATTCTTGTCTCGAAAATAGAAGCATTCCACTTATCCACTTTTTTAGTCTAAATAACAAGCAGATTTTAGGGTTGTTTTGTTTTAAAAAAAACTTTCAAATCCCTTCAAAATGACACAAGATGGTACGATTTTGATCAGGAAATAAAACTTGTTAAAGATTGGGTTTAGGGTCAGTTTTTAACAACTTACCTCCTTTTCTCTTTCATAGTCCTCTTTGTCATATTCCTCATCTTCATTTTGTGCCGGTAGCGCCACACTGCCAAAGTCTAATGACATGGTCCTCCTGTGGGAAGAGAAAGATGTTTGGTTTCTGAAGATCCCATAAAATCTCCCCAGAACAAACTACATAAGAGAGGCCATACATACACAAAGTCAAAAGACAGAAACAGACTTGGAGAAAACATGTGTAACTCATTTATGACTAATACAAATAATTGTGATTCATAGAAAATAGCTGTATGACAGCAACTCATGGAAAAGAAAAGATGCAAATAGGTAATAACACTATGAACAGAACTTTCTAGCAGTCTGAAAGTGTAAGTTAAAACAGTAAGATTTTTGCCCATATGAAAAATAAGACGACAATAATAATAAACTAGAAATGTGCCAAATGTAAAAATCTTAAGCTCAAACAAAATTTCAGATGTGCTGTATTAAACACGGCACAGGTAGTATCCTAATGGCTTTTTTTTTTTTTAATACCAGAAATCCAAATATCATGCTTCACAAAAAAAGGGCCCCTAAATCATGAGTGAATGACTGCTACCCAGAAACCATTTACAATCCAGTAAATTCCACAGAGCACACAACAAAATATAAGTCTTAAATGTCCTCCTCTTAAGCTTGATAAAACCAGGTTCTGGCAATATACTCAGGAAAAACAGAAGAGAGGGCTGTGAAGCTACACCACTGTGGACTTCCAATTCCAAAAGCAACAGCAAGAGTTCCCTGGGGAGCAGTCATTGCCGTGGCAGAAGCAGCAGCAGGAAATGGGTTTTCAACTACTTACGGTCAAAAAAGCTGCTGCTGATTTAAGTTATACTTAAGGAGCCTGACACTACACATAAACTCCTCAGAACTTCAAAGCTCCAAACAATCCCAACAAAAAACTAGGCAGGTGTCATCAATTACCTGGCCTCACACTGCCCTCTATTCAGTCCACTGTTGTTCATGCCAATGAAACGCACTTGGATATGGGCCTGAGCCACAACTCATTCTCCACACCTTTCAAGCTCTAAAATATCATTCAGCTGGAAGTCAAATCAGAAGCACAGAGACCCAGTAATCCAAATGCATTTTACCATAAAGAATTTAGTGCCCTCGTCTTAACAGTTAAGAACTATATCACAAACTTTTATGGAAGCCAATAGCTCTAGAGCAGACGACATCCCGTTTCATCAGATCTAAGATTTCTTTGATTCTATGACACAGTTCTATTTGTAGCAGTAGGAACAAGATGCAGCCACTAAAATTATGACTTAACACTAATTTTAGGACACCGTCTATGTTGTAGATATTAAAATGTGAAAAGAAAATGTGCAAGCTAGAATACATAAATATGGTATTAAAGATTAACACACATATGAACTTCAGTGGTGAAAATCCCCCTACGTCAAGTTTTTGTATTTCTTTTTTTTTTTTTTTTTTTTTGAGACGGAATTTCACTCATGTTGCCCAGGCTGGAGTGCAATGGCGCAATCTGGGCTCACCGCAACCTCCACCTCCTGGGTTCAGGCAATTCTCCTGCCTCAGCCTCCTGAGTAGCTGGGATTACAGGCACGCACCACCATGCCCAGCGAATTTTTTGTATTTTTAATAGAGACGGGGTTTCACCATGTTGACCGGATGGTCTCGATCTCTTGACCTCGTGATCCACCTGCCTCGGCCTCCCAAAGTGCTGGGATTACAGGCTTGAGCCACTGCGCCCGGCCCAAGTTTTTGTATTTCAAAGACTGAGTTATGTTCCTTAGCCATCCTCTAATTTGCAGGCTACCTTCTAATCCCTTTCTCTCTGGTCCCTACACTTCAACTTATATCAACTCAGACTCTTCACATCAACTTAAAACCCTCTAGCCTCTGCTTCTCAGACCACACGTACTCCTTTCTACACTTGTGCCAGGGAACAAGGGGGAAGAGACATGCATATTGAGGAAAATAAATCTATCTGTAAACTATCATTTTGTGTACCAACATAACACAAAGATGTAAGTATGGTAAACAGCCTATAACATAGGAGAAATGGTGAGGGGAAAACATACAATCTCATGTTTCTAGATTTTTTTCCACTACTGCAAGTGGACTTGTCTACAGAACACTACGTATAGATAATGAAAAACGAGCCCAACTAAATCACACCTCCTTAAAAGAGATTAAGCTGGACCTTAAATACATTCCTGAATCCTCCAGGCAGAAATAATCCTTTCTGCTTCTGAATTCTGTGTCTTTTACCTCTCTTGCATTTAACTATAAATACAAGACAAAATATGGAATTGGAGTTAATTTCTCCTTCATTAAGTTAAAGAGGTTTGTTCCAATCCTTTATTAGCCTGCCATCAATTGATGTTGATTATTGAAAAAGAACATTAAGATTTGTAAGAGCCTATTGCTAAAAATGTAGCTATTAATATTTTAAATAGAGAACTACTTTTCCTCAGATAGAGAATAATTCTACAAGGTGTTTTTAATTTTCAAAGTACAGAAAAGGCCTGGTGTGGTGGCTCACGCCTGTAATTACAGTGCTTTGGGAGGCCAAGGCAGGCGGATCACCTGAGGTTGGGAGTTCCAGACCAGCCTGACCAACAAGGAGAAACTCCATCTCTACTAAAAATACAAAATTAGCTGGGCATGGTACTGCATGCCTGTAATCCCAGCTACTCAGGAGGCTGAGGAAGGAAAATCACTTGAACCCAGGAGGCAGAGGTTGCAGTGAGCAGAGATCACACCATTGCACTCCAGTCTGGGCAACAAGGGCAAAACTCTGTCTCAAAAATAAATAAAATGTAAAAGATCAAAGTATTTATCTTTAATGTTATTTTAAATCCAAACCATGTCATTAAAGAAGACATCTAAAAATACCTAAAAAGACCAAAATCTCCCCCACTGAAGAAAAGGTATAAGCAAGTTTTCCTTTTGAGAAGAATAAACTTTAAGGGACTTTAAGAAATGATTTCAGATATAAAGCGAAATCTGATCAACTTACTGTGGTTAAATATATATACACTAAAAAGGTAATACTTAAAACGAGACTTAAAAGCTAATACTTTAATTTATTAATCACCACTCATTATCACTGACCAACATGGAGAAATCCCATCTCTACTAAAAATACAAAATTAGCTCAGGCATGGTGTTGCATGCCTGTAATCCCAGCTACTCAGGAGGCTGAGGCAGGAGAATTGCACAGACTTTACTGCAATATTTAGAACAACAGAAGAGACTGCCTTAAAAAAAAAAGTAAGATAGTAAACCCAAAAGCCATAAAGAAAAATGTGATGGAAATCTAACCACAAAAAAAATAAAATTTTGTATAAGGCAAAAGACAATCATTAACAAGTCAATTATTATGTATGAAAAAATACATGACTAACAATGTCAGAAAAATAAGAATGAGAAAGATATTTCCAAAGCACATGACAAAGTCCCAATATAGAATTCTTACAAAGAAATGAGAAAATCCAATGTAAAACTGGGAGACTGACATTTTATTTTAAAAAGTATAAATCAATAAGCTTGAAAAGATGCTTATAATGTCTCAAAGAAGCGTCATTTAAACAAAAATATGCCATTTTCAACCACTAGATTGAACAAAAAAATTTATCATCCAGTAGTGACTATTTTGTAACTCATGAGTTGCTGGTGAAAATATAAACTGCTAAACCATCTTGAAAACTATCAATATCAATATGTTGAAAATGAACATTTGCACTAGTAAAATTATTTTTGAATTTGTCAATACTATGAATTAATTTGCACTAGTAAAAAATGAACATTTGCACTAGTAAAATTATTTTTGAATTAATTTGTTAATACTATGAATCTGTCAATACAATACAGTAAAAATAATGAAATATTTCTGTATCTATTGACTCAAGGCTGACCACTTAAGAAATCAAGATGCAGAATAAGTGTACAGTATGTTTTGGTTTTCCTTTTCAATAGCAGTCTGGTAGACGTTCTTCCTAGATAACTTTTTCTGAACCCTTAAGACTATAAAAAGGATGTCCTGTTGTTACACTCATATGGATGCCCTGACCCAGCACTCCTTTTGTTGTCCCGGTTTTTTTCTCTGCCCTCCTTGCAACAAAACCAATGGGTGTTTAGTTGGACAAAAGATTACAAAGCAGAAGTGGCACTGTTTTTGCCTCATCTAATAAACTATAAGCACCCTGAAGGCCGAATTAAAATGTGTCTGCCACCTGGCACATGGTAGGCACACAACAAATATCTGTTGACTGAATATGATATAGGAATGTTATCTATATACATTCATTATTTCAATAAAATTTTATTGAATACCTACTGTGTATCAGATCATATCCTAGATGCATCTAAGACATGGTACTGGCCATGAGAAGCTGTCTCTGCTCATCCTCTCTTGGACAGCCACTGAGATAAACTAACAGTTACAATAACATATTGTAATAAATTCTGCAGATGATCAAAGTACAAAGCACAAATTAACTTTTCCTAAGAAGAAAGGATAGCTTAGAGAAGTTTTACAGAAAAAAACAGATTTTGGATTAGAAATAAATCTTAAAGGACAAAATATGGCTGTAAGAACGAGGGCACTCATTCAGACAACCTGGGCTCAGTTCTGGCTCTTCTATTTATCAGCTGTGCAATCTTGGGCAAACTGTTTCTGCTTCTACGTTAATGAAATGGGGGGTAAAAACAGTATCCACATCAAAGATTGGTTCTGAGGAGTCAAAAGATAATACAAGTAATTAGCACTATGTACCAATCAATACATTCTTGTTTTATTACTATCGTAACATTATTACTGATGAATAGGAGTCTGCTAGCTACAGAAGAGGTTAAGGGAATCAAGAGGATTCTGCATATCTGAGAAAAGGTGAATGTGCAACCTATGAGAAATGTCACTTCAAATAATGCAACCCTCCATGGAACAAAAGTGTCACCCTCCTTCAAGATGCCCTCCCCAAGCATGTTCCCCCATAGAATTAGCCACTTTTTTGCACTTTCAGACTGGATTTCTTATGCTTTTCCTACGGCTTCAACTTCAGCGTCTCTTTAGTTAAGTGCATTCACCTGTCTAGGGAGTGCATATAGATTGTCGCACTTTATGAAGCTATATGGTGATACTAGGCTTAAATAGACTCGAGTACATGACTGCGATATGGAAAGCATTGTAAACCCCCCACAAAAGGGGTTTCTAAGAATTGCACTAGTTGGGAAATTCTCCTTACTTGCTGACATAACTCCCCTTCTAGAATGGAAACAGCCAGAGCACGTAGCCCGTAGACTTGCAACACCTGGTGGAGGCGGCCTATTGATTCATTCGACAATTTACCAAACACTGTTCAAGATGACAAAGTTTAACAGGACATGATGGAGGGAAATAAAATAGACATATAAACAAATAATCACACATCTTGTGATCAGTGCTAATGACAGCACTTTGGACAAATTGATTCAAGTTGCCCAGAGAGCAGAGCGAGTAACGCTAATAGACAATAGGCACCAACCACAGGCTGACCGAATGACCTTAAGGAACTGTTTGGCTTCAGCCACGGCACTACAAACATGACCAAATCTGCACGGGGCCCAGGATACCCGGGGCTGCTGGCTTTAAGCGCCAGCGTCAAATTGCACTAGGTCAACACAGGTGCACAGAGCACCCACTGTAAGCCAGGCGTGACGCCGGGTTGACAAAGACAGGGTCCGCAGGGTAGGGTCTCAGGGCGACCCCAGCAGCCTGGAGAAGAGACGACGCAGGCTTTCTGTATGTCACTTCTAAGTAGGATCTTGGAGGAATGAAGAGGTCTAAATGACGCGTTAAAGGCAAAAGCTGAGCCCGCGGCCTGCGGGCAGTCCACCAAAGCGGGATTTGGGGAGGGGGCAGGTCAGCCCCCCGGGAAGCCTCAGCTAGGATCCCGAGGACGCCGCAACTCCTCTAACCCCAGCTCCAAGCCCACTCGTGAATCAGAACTCACCGGAGGCCACGGAGTCTGTTACCGCAAGGAAACTCTAGACCTAGCGGAAGACCAGCTTCTAGCAAAACCCCTTACCCTGGCTCTAGTCCACTAGTTCCTTCCTAGTCACAACCGAACCCATGGAGCGGAAGCCCTTAAGGAACAGTCGCGTCCTTCAATCGTCGACTAGAAGCTCGCCCAGTGGGCGGAGCCGTGTCTGCTCGGGGCAGGGCGGGGAGGCAGAAGTCTCCGCCTTCTTCAAGCTTGGTTGAGAAGTCCGCCTGCAGTTGCAAAGTACGGCTGTTTGAAAGCGGGCGCCAGAGATGGCGGGAAGCTGCCCCTTTGCGCCCATTGGTGAATTCGTGAGCCAATTACGAGGGGGTGACTCTGGAGTGGGCGGGCTGATCGGTTGCCTAGAGACGCCGAAGCACCTCTCCGGCTACCTTCGACCAGGACGCTCCGGCCTTATGGGGACCCCTCGACCCTTTGGTACCGGAGACCGCAGCGGTGACTCGTGCCTCTTGCGCTTCAGCACAAAGAATCCCGTAGACTCCCCACCAAACTCTTGCCTTAGAGGTTTTTGCATTTGCCCTTCCTGTTTTCCTTTTTTTTTTTTTTTTTTTTTTTGAGACGGAGTTTCGCTCTTGTTACCCAGGCTGGAGTGCAATGGCGCGATCTCGGCTCACCGCAGCCTCCGCCTCCTGGGTTCAGGCAATTCTCCTGCCTCAGCTTCCTGAGTAGCTGGGATTACAGGCACGCACCACCATGCCCAGCTAATTTTTTGTATTTTTAGTAGAGACGGGGTTTCACCATGTTGACCAGGATGGTCTCGATCCCTTGACCTCGTGATCCACCCGCCTCGGCCTCCCAAAGTGCTGGGATTACAGGCTTGAGCCACCGCGCCCGGCCTGCCCTTCCTGTTTTCTAAGGCGCCTGCCTCCCCATTACCTAACAGCCGTAGATGTTTTGCTTTGTCTTCTACCTTACTAGGTGCCGCTTTGTTTACATTTTTGCTTCTTTATAATTACTGATGACACATTTTTACACGTGTCTATTCACTAGTCTAATGTCCTCGGGCGTGAGTGTTCTTGTCACTTAGGTGTATATTATTAACCTGCCCCTACAGACAGCGCCACCCAGTCCTCAGTAAAGGCCAGTACTGTATCTACCTTCTCTGGTTGAAAGGGTTCCAGTGAATAATCAAGGCATTGGTGGCGGCAGCTTCACATATCCTTTCAACCCTTTTCCATATGTACTGGCGTCGAGTAAAATGGCTGTTCAAGGCTCTTCATAATGTGGCTAGTTTTCCTTTGCTACTTCACCATCCACCCCCCGTGATGCCTACACTGACCCCTGTAACCCCATAAACTGGTATAGGGTTTGCCAAACAACACGTAATTTAATCTTACAAGCTGAGTTAACAATGGTTCCCAGGGCGATTTTTTTTCTTAAGCTGTTTCTTTCACCAGCATTGCCTCTACCTTACTTCTTCACCTACTCAGTTTTCAAGATAGACTAGCACCTCCACTGAAGCCTTTCATGACACATACTCCCTCACTTCGCAGAAATGATCTTTCCCACCTCTGTATACAGTGTATCCTATATATCCTATTATAGTTCTTATATCTACAAGTAGTTTTTGTGTGTCTGTTACACTCAGGACAATGTGACTATCTTGGGAATCTTAACATGTTTCATGACCCTGGTAGGCACTCAAAACAATGGTGTTAAATGAGTAAATGAATAAATGGACAAATAGATAAAGATTTTGGCGTGGGGGGAGCAGAAAAAGCAAATAAAAAGCATTCAATTAAATGGCATTTGTTGAATCTGAGCCAAGGCATCTTAGTGAGAACTAGATGCACTTTCCACTTTCACATCCCACTGAAGTCGATCCGTAAGCTGTATATTGCATCCTGTGCGGGTTGTGTTGGAGTGCTACAGCAAGAATGCCAGGTGATCCCTATGCACAAACAACTGCTTCTTAGAAGGATGAAAGCATAAAAGGTGTGTGTGTGGGAGGCACATGAGGAGGGAATGTTTATAATCTCTCACACAGTGCTTTACAGATGGGTAAATTATTTCACAAGCGTTATTTCATTTGGGTCTCACTACGACACTGTGGAAGGGGGGTGGCTAGGACAGGTATTCGTACCCCATTTTCCAGTTGAAGAAACTTACGTAAAAATAAATTAAGTGACTTGTCCAAGGCTACACAGCTTATACAAGGCAGACAGAATTTGAAACCGGGTCCTTTATCTCCAAACCCAGAACTTATCACTACATACAAAATGTTAGTGAGACTAGCATATATGGGACAAAGAGGGAAAATAATCAATCAACCTCCCATCCTGCCATGCCTCTAAAAATGGTTTTTGGTGGAGATACGGATATATTCAACTAAATTTTCTTTGATCACCTATCCTGTTTAAGTCCTGACCTAGGTGCAGGGCAGGACCCCTATACTCAAGGTACCAACACTCTGAGTTACAAGACGCTTACATAGAAAGATAATATTTACTGAATGTAATCAGAGTAGAATAGGCAATAATTCTAGGGAAAGTGAACACCTAAGGATGAATCTATCAAGGCAGGTTTGAGGAAGAAGAGGAGGAGACAGCTCAACAGGCCAGCTGACTGGCATGAATGCAATTTGAAGGCCAGACCAGCAAAAGTGCAAAAATCTTACATTGAGAGGTAAGTCTGGAAAAGTAGGCAGGAAAGAGGTAGTCCATAGAAGAGCTTGAAGCCTGGGAGAATAGGAAAGGCGTTCTACAGAGGTCAGGTAATAGTATGTACAAGGAATGAATCTAATGTCCAAAGAAACACAAGCAGACAGAGGCATTCTGGGGTAACAAAGGCAAGCGTGGAGGAAGAAAGAAGAACTGCCAAGGATCTCAAATGCTGGACAAAAGATTACTTGTGAAACGTTGGCTCAATGTTTGCTTTGCCTGTTTTAAATGGGCACGCCTATGAACGGGGTGAGAAACGTCACATTGTTGATCAGATGGGGTCCCTCCCACTAACAAGCTTTTCTAAAGGTAAAGCTAAACCATCATTTCTCCTGTTTCCTGCTTTTTGGTGTCAAAGCTATCAGGTCAAAGCAATGCCACCACAGGTGTGCTATCCAAAGTGCTATCATCAAGGAGGACCTTCCTCAAAAGAACACAGAACTTAGAGTAAGAAGATCTGAGTTCAAGTCCCAGCTCTCCTGTATACTAGCATTGTCCATAACAATTTAACCCTCAAAAGCCTCAAAGTCCTTATCTGAAAATAGGGATGATAATACCTACTTCTCAGGATTGCAGGCGGAAAAAAAAAAATGAGATGAGATTGTATGAAAACACATTATTGTCTATGTACTACAGCTTATTGGACTAGAGTACACATGGGGGTCTGAGGTAGCAAGGAAAAACTAGGAAGGTGTTCTGGGAGTGGATGGCAGAGAAGGACAAGGGTGAGTGTGTGCCAAGGGCAACAGGAGCTTATGGAATAGGACAAACAAGGGGTCTACACAGGGATATGGCTTCATGAGAACAGGACAAAAACAGGAAGTGCTAGAGATGGAACGGGAGTACTTGGAAAGAACCAAGGAAGATCAGACCATTGTTTATAATTAATCCAACAGTATTTCGGGAACACCTACATTGTGCCAAGCACTGTGCTGGGATCATTTAATGTTGACATGTGGGTCAAAATGCCTGCTCTGCTCAAGCCCCTTCTCACAGAATCTGCTCCTGCTCACAGGCTTTGTGACCTCACCACCACCATCCCAACACCCACAGTCCTGGCTGGACTTGACTGAATCAGGGCAGGTATACTAGACCCAAGCTGGGCCAATCTTACTCCTTTCCCAGATAACTAAGATTCCACAAAATTGAACAAGGTGGTGGCCATACAGAGGAGAAGCAGACTTTTATTACACTTGTCTGTATTTTAGGGGGAGTATGCGGCCTCCATGGCTGTGTCATATACTTGGTAGACCCTAGACTGAAGATCATGAACTTTTGCACTGAAAGCCATGGATCTGTCTGGTTCCTACACTTTGAAAAGCGGACAGTTTAGCTTTTCCTTGGATTCTGTGACAACTGAACCTTAAAAACCTTTTGACTTGAGCTGGCTTGGGTCATTGCAGAGGTTGAATCCTGTTCCCTAAAATTTCACGTCCACCTGAAACTTCAGAATATGACTTTATTTGGAAATATGGTTTTTGCTGATACAATTGTTTGATATGAGCTCATTCTGGTTTAATCCAGAATGCTAAACCATCATTTCTCCTTTTTCCTCTGTTTTGGTGTCAAAGCTATCAGGTTAAAGCAATGCCATCACGGAAGTGCTATCAGCCCTACATCTAATGACTGGTGTCTTTATAAAAAGAGAGGACACAAAGAGACACACAGGGAGAAGACAGCCATGTTAAGGTAAAGGTGGTGATTGGGGTTAGATTACCATAAGCCAAGGAACACCTGGGGCCACCAGATGCTGGAAGAGACAAGAAAGAATTTTTCCTGAGAGCCTTTGGAGAGAGCATGGCCCTGCCAACATCTTGGTTTCAGACTTCTAGCTTCTGGAACTGTGAGAGAATCAACTTCTGCTGCTTGTTGTACTAGTTACAGTAGCCCTAGAAAGGTAATAAAGGTAGGCCTACATTTTTGGCAACCAAACATTCACGACTGAGATACATTTCTAGTGATTATAGTTGAAAAGTCTAGACCAGTGATTCTCCAAATAGGGCCATGGCACACTGGTGTACCTCAAGAGTCTTTCTGATGGGGTATTAAATTACGCAAATGCCCAAGCCATTTATTCAATTTTCATAGGCAAATAGTTTGCAAATATATAGGTTTTTATTTTTACACACAACTAGAAATCCACCAAGTAAGATATAGGAAACTACTAATGTTGAGAATTTGTGAATTAAAACGAACATATTATTTGGGTTTATCAAGAAGGATCACTCCTCATTTGGACCTGCAGTATTACACAGTTCCTGCTTATGTGCAGTAGAAGGTAATTGGAATTCTCAGTTTTGGAAGGGGGCTGTTAATAGCACCATTCCCGCAGGAAATCATGGACTTTAAGAGCTGTTATTCCTACTTACTCATTAACTATGTTTGTTTGGCTTCATCAATATCAAGTAAGTTTATTGTGAGTTGTGTGGTTAAACCAACTCTGTATAGTGTTAACTACTTTAAATATTTTCACTT